CAAGGAGATCCATCACAGCTGAAGTGACACGTCTTTCAATACAGTACAATGAATGAGTGTTAACCCGGAGTCTTCTCCCACTCCAGTCCCACAGTCTGCAGCTTTGACACAAATGTTTTGTGAAACATTTGAACAGCTTTTGAATGTGTAAACAAATGACAGAGCAGTTTCTTACTGTGTAATTTTATAGATTCAATTTTTGTTTAAGACTACTAAAACAGTGGTACCTAAATACACAGAGCCAACGCACATCATGTGTGTGAGTGTATGTGTGATCAGGGCATGAGATTAGTTTAAAAATTAAAAAAAAGTCCTGTTGATTAAGTACAAACACAGCAGGGCTTTGTTTTTTTTTTGTCCCAGAACAAAGTGGTTTATTTGTCTATCGAGCAACAAGCAGGAAAGAGGATTTTGTAGCATTTTAGGTTAATCCATCAGAGTTACAATAATCATTCAGCAGCATAGCTGTAATATTTTTGTTCCTCCATTAAAACAATCAGTCTTTTCAAATATACTAATTCCTTTAACGGGAAGTGTTGAGTCAAACAGTGCCCTCTTAATTCAGTGTTAAGTTGTAGGAGAAGAGGCAGGTATTATCTGTCTGCGTTAGGGGCTGTGTTTCCTGCTTTTTTTAAGCCAGACTAAGGGTAATTTAACAACATGTTTACTGTTTGTTCTTTATCTTTAATCTTCAATACTAAAATCTAAAAAATGCTCGCATATATTCCTCAGCTTAGGTTCATTAAAACTGTTTATGGATCATTTGAGACAGTTTTTAAATTCACATCATTATTACAGCTGAAGAACAACAGTGAGTATCGTAGGGGGCGTACAAACAAAAATGTATTTTGTCAACAGATAATGTGTCACATATTGTCTTTAATTAAGAACACAACATACATTCCAGCACATCTTCTCTCTCATGCAGCAGACTTTCTTTGAACTGCAGAACAGAGACGACAGCTGTTCAAACAGAGAAACAAAGTAAATGTGACCAGAACAGTCAGAGCCAAGGTTGAGATGCACATTCTTCTCGTCAATTCTAGTTCATTTAGGATGACCCTGAGCAAAATATCTGTGTAAACATTTCTACATTCACTCCAAACCAGTAAAATGAAGGGAAGAAAAGTGTGTGTGTGTGCTTTCTCTCCCACCTAATGTTTTCCCCCAATTCTCATAAATATGTACAAAAAAAAAATCCTTTTATAGGCATGCTGGTGATTATTGTGGATCTTACTGTGCATATGAGAGGGCTCTACAGTACATCACACCAACTGTATGGTGTCAAGATTTGCACCATCGCTTTATTTATTCATATTTATTTTTTCTGGCATACAGTAGTATAGATTGTAATAGAAATGTATTTCATATATATTGGTAAATACTGTCTTTAAGGAGTGCATTCAGATGCTTCTGTTAAAGATATGTGACGGCTATCACCAGTTCTGCGTGTACCGACGTGCTAATCAAACGACACTGATCGGCACATGTCGTTCTGAGCTAAGCCCTGGATCAGTCTGCACCATTCAGCCCTCTTCAGGGTGATGTAGGACGGGGTAATGATTTGCACAGGAAGGCGTGGTGAGCCTTCGACCCTTGCCTTCTCACACAAGGCCTCGGCGATGCAGATAACATACATGCCACAGTCATAGCTGTTCTGCTGTGAAGGGCAGGGCTCCTCCACAAACTGCAGTTTTCTCCCTCTGCCCAGGAAGGACTCCAACTTGCTGGCAATGCGCCGTGCATGCACCGAATTACTGCCGTTTTGAGAGTCATAGTGTGAAAAATGGTTGGAATTGTGATGGTAGACCAAAAGGCTCCAGTGGGACCCTCCAGCCGTCTGGTTGGAGTTGTCGTTCACAGCGAGAAAAACCCAGCGGCGGGAGGCCAGATCCAGTGGCTCCAGAAATATGGCCAGCTCATCAGGGCAGGAAGCACATTTGATAAACTGTGTGACCTCTGGGCTGATGAAGATGATGGTGTCTCCTAGAACCCTGAACAGCTCAGCAGAGAAGTACTCAAAGGCAAAACCAATGACTTGGTCATTGAGCCAGTAAGGACCCTCCAGTAAAGACAGATCAGAGCGCCGCAGCAGACTGTCCTTATAACTCAACACTACAGGGTCCATCCTCCTCCACTGTCCCAGAGTCAGCCTGGAAAACAAACAGGAGGTTTTACTGCATGATGGACAATTACAATGGCTTGGTTTAAAATGCTTTGGTTTGAGAAAATGTAAAAACAAACAAACAAACAAAAACCATACTGATGTACTTTCAAAAAACAATACTAATGAAGATCTTGATATTTACTCTTTCGCCATACCAGTGGCTGGCTATTCAATTTAATTTACATTTATAAATAGGGTAATGATGTATTATTAATGACAATTAATAAAACTGTAGTTCTGTTTACGTTGTATTGATCAATTATTTTGTGTATTACCAATTTTTAACATCGGTAAATTATTCACTATCTGTGAAATATAAGAGATAAGCTGAGGGCGGTCAATATAAAAACAGAACTTACTCAAGACTCAGACTATATTTAAAATAATATTACAGTTGAACTGGTTTGTATGAATAATGTGTTGTAGTCTAAATGCCTCTCGGAATGAATTAATCGATCGTGGATGTAACTAATTTACGAAAAAAAATTATTATTACACCGACATAAGCTTTCAATCGACTTGTACCGAATGAATTAGGAATAAAACCGTGGCGCTGAGTCACATTTTACTGCAATGCGTTAACTTCATTAGCATGAGCAGCTACCCGCAACTTCTATCAACCTCTCTACTGCAAATAATGGTGTAACTTAAATAGAGCTGGGCACTGTCTGCTACTCTAAATCAAAATAAATGAAACCGAATAAATGTCCGTACCTGTAAAAGACACATTCAAATATTATACACCACAAAAACTGAACAGATCCGGTCCTTCATTGCAAGGAATAAGACGTAAAGCGCTTCGCATCCACAGCGTAAACATTTCACGACAGTAGTCATATGATGTACTGCACTGCGATTGGCTGTTTATATACGCGTATTACAGCAGTGCATTTACGAGAGTTAACGTTCTGGGTCATAACACAGAGGAGGCGAAAATTGATCGACGCACATAGATAGAGAAAATAACTGAAGACTGTTTCACGAGAAAAAAAACGGAATTGTACTTATTTATTGCACTAAGTTTGTTATTTATGTTATTTACCAAGCAAAACTGCACACGTTTATTCAGTTAATTTATGTGTTGTTTTGTGACTAAATTAGTTTTTATATTATTGTGAACTGTATGAGATTATTGGTGTAATGTATGTGAAGTCAATAGACTAATTATAAATAACGATTACAATGAAACCACTGACATGGATTCAAATTTCAAAATAATATATTATATATTATTTTGAAATTTCTTTCGTCTTATTGTCCAGTCACTACTACATTGTTGACCTTATTACCATTTTATTTTTGTTCTGAAGACAATTTTCTTCTATAAAGAAGTATATGTGAATTGATTCTGAGTGTGCACTGCCCATTTTGGTAGCCGTGTTATTTTCTATCCTCTCGTTTCGTCCTCCCCTCTGTATTACCCACGCCCAGGAGTGGCGGGGGCGCGTACGGCGGCGCGCCTTAGAGTGGCCGCACAGATTAGGCGAAGAGTGAAGTGGAGTTTTTTCAGCGAGCGTCAGCGAAGAGCTGCCTGCTTATAATTATACAGTCACTCACACAGACTCACGCTGGGATTTCTATAGAAAATGCGCACGTTTCTGTGTCGGAGTGGAGTTTACTGAAGTTAGCGCTGCTGTTGGAGAAAGACGCAGAACATAGAGGACACGAGAGGAGTGGGAATGCAGGGAATTAAATAGAGACCGAGGACAATCTGAGAGTCACAGGCTGTGCGAGTCATCCTGAGGACCACACTGAGATCCACGCACACACTTCAGCGTTCACTCGTGGAGGTAAGACTGTGATGTTCAGTCAGTGGAGAGGCTTCTCTGCTCAGCAGCAGCAATCAACGAATCAGTTCGCCCCTCTGTAACAAACCTGTACTTTATCTGCAACACCATGACGGTGGTTTCATGCCTTTAAGGTGTGTATGAACTCAGCTGCTGCCGAATGACGAGTCAACGTCAAAAGTGTGTGTGTGTGTGTGTGTGTGTGTTTGAGTGACAGAAAAAGTTTGCTGCTCAGAGTCATGTCACCATGTGGTGGTGTTCATAGTAGATCCA